GGCACTGTAACTCAGTATATATTTCGAATTCGAAATTTTTGACGCCGCATTCGTTTTCTCCACCCCAAAATTACCTTGACCTGAAAATTTCAGATCGATCGGAGCACTTTTCAAACCCGGGGATATTTAGCGGCCATCCCCGGGTTTTGCGTTTTCATTTTTTAGCCGCCTGATATAGGTAAAGTGTGTTGAAACCCGGGTAAGATGAACGAGTTTGATTTTCAAATTTTGCACAGCATCATCATTATGGCCAAGGATCATGGGATAATTTTTTCGAAGACAGGGGGGGGGATGGTGACGATCCGTTCCCCCCCCCCCCCAAATAAATTCGGCTTTAGCTCGGAACCCGCCTAGGGGCACCCTCGAGGTACTGGATATATAATAGTTGTCATGTTGTTCATCACTGAGTGCTACCAAGGGGCCCCCAAACTGCCACCACCCACCACAGCAAGCAGCGGGCGCCTTCACCCTCTGCCATTTTGTCGACATCCCGTTCATTGACCATTTGGGTTCTACATACCGTGCCGACGTTTACCTCTTCAATTGAAGAGCTCGATCGTACGGAGATTTTGTCTATTACTGCTCATGCCTCTCCTCTTTTCCATGTCTTATTTCGAGAACGAATCATGACTTCCTTTCACAATGACCTAAATGAACTCTCATACATAACGCTTTCTACTGCTACTGCTAAGGCGGATATTCGTCCGATACACAAGTGAACGCGCCACAAAAAGGAAGAGCAGCAACGACCTCGACACTTGATACAGGTAAATGGGAATTCCGAACCCACAAATGAATGCAACCCCAGCTAGTAGAGGTATCTAGGCCCGCGCGACACCGTGTGCCCGAGCTTGTCAACGCGAGCAGCATCACACGCCATAGAAAGTTTACCGCGCGGGCACAAAACATGGCACGTCACTTTCCATCGCGCCCTAAGCCTGACGCATGTCCAGTGTTAATCAGAGAGGCGCCACACATGCGAAGTGCTCAATCAAGCAGACCACGCTGCTTTCTCTGCCTGCCTACCTGCCTGCCTGCCTCGAAGCTCCCCCCGCACATCTCGACACAACGCCAGTCGCCATTTTGCTGCCGGCTCGTCTACCTGTACAGAGACATTCGAAGCAAGCCCGACCTCTCAACCCCGCGTTTAAGGTTACCGCCAGAAGTAGTTGCAATTTCGAAAACAGCTACTGGGGCTTGAGCTTGCGCGACAGAGGCTAGAGGGAGCACTTCTCGAGGCTCCTATGCATATACACAATTTACGGTAGCAGGGCAACACGAGGGCACGCAGAGAGCTTACTAACAACACCGCGCCAACATAAAAAAAGCTACGAACGAATCGCTACGCTCTATATTCCCAACATTCAACCCCCCAAAATGACCAAATAATGTGTTCCTTGCACAAGGGAACGTATTGTAAGGAGACAAAGCAACAATCAGAAGAGCCCGTGTAGAGCGGGGCATTAATGCACACGACTTGGCATTACAAGACAAAAGAATAAAACTAGTCAGTCCGCCAAATTGGACGGCCATCTCCCAGCGAATAGTAGCTACACAGGCCTCTTCATTCAACCCATCCTCCGTCTTCAGTGCTGCTAGCACGGTTCCCTTGGACCGTCCACTCCCTGCTTCCCCTACCCCCATCCCTTAGATGAAACACATTCACGTGAGAAAACACACTCTCCATATCTCAAGCCACAGCCGACTCGCAGACACTATTGCAGTGCGCAATTAAACGTACTACCTTTACACCGGTGTGCGGATCGCTCCTCAGAACGACTCGAACTGAGTGCGTCGGCGAGGGAAAAGGTCTTGAGGTGCCCCACGCACTCCTACAGTAGTAATGTGCATGCATACACGCAGACAAGAAAAGTTAACTCTTAGAAACGCCACCAACTCGCTCCGCCACCCCGCTCGAAGCAGTCTTGCTCCCCGCGCTCCCGCCGCTGCCGCCGCTGCCGCCGCCGCTGTTGCTGCCCGAATTACCGAACCCAGGCAAAAGCGGAGTCCCGTTGCTAGGCTTGGAAACGGCACGGACAACGCACCCGCCCCCGACGCCCCTACCTTCCGCACCCACTGGGGTGGTGCCATTAGAGCCTTCCTTGCCCATATGAGGCATGGAAGGCGTCGTCATTGCCATCGCCGCCGTGGCCGGAAGGGGAGCGGCGGCCCCGCTGGTGGCGGCGACGGCGGCGGCAGCGGCGGTGGCGGAGGGAGGAGCGCTGTCGACCCCCACGGCCGCCGCCGCCGCCGGGTGCGGCACTACCTGCGGGGGAGCGGTCGTTGCCGCCATCGCCATCGCCGCCGCCGCTGCCGCTGTCTGCTGCTGCTGCTGAATGGTGCTCACGGCTCTGGACGCCGCCGCCGCCGCCGCCCCGAACGGCGGCAGAATCGACGCACCGCTGCCGCCGCCGTCGCCGGCCTCTTCGGCAACCACGTCGATGTCCTCCTCGGTGGCACCACCGCCGCCGTCAGCATCGACCCCGGCGGGAGGGGCGGGGGGGGAAGTAGGAGCGATGTTGATGTAAGCCGCGGCGGCGGGCGGAGGCGACAGCCTGGTAGGGATGTTGCTGTGGTAGGCCACCGCGGCCGGGTGTGGCCGCGGCGGCGGCGGCGACTGGGGCGGTGCCAGCCTGGCGGCCAGGGCCGCGACGCGGGCCCTCCGGAGCGTGAAGACGCACCTGCCGACGCCGAGGGCGTGGTAGTCCAGCTGCCCGCGGTCCGGGTGGTTCCCCACCTGAAAGACGGTTGGTTCAGATGGAGTTACATAGGATGAAGGATCAGTCAATACTGTACAAAGGGAGCTTGCGGCCACAGAACGGAACGAAGGAGTGTGATGCATCTAAGAAATCGAACATCTTCGAGTAAATGACCAGACGGACATCCACGGATTACCAAAAACTATTCGTATCCATGCCGGTTGGGGTGGTCGATGCTAACAATAATTCAAAACACGCTCGTCTTTTCATTGGTCAGCCCGCTATGTAGCGCGGTCGATGCTAATAACAACAAACCACACACACACACGCGCGCGCACACACGAGACACACCACAGCACACACCTGAGCGGCAAGGGCCGAGAAGCACTTCCGGACCCGCGGAGTGTCCACGCGGTTCGAACCCGGCCCGACCCGGCTGCTAGACCCCGGCCCAGTCGGTTGAGGGTAGCGGTTGCCAAGGAGATACCTGGTGAGGCAGTCGAACCCCGTAGGCGTGCCGTTGCTCTGGCAGAGGTTGGTCAGCTGCCGCCGGCTCGCCTAATTGAGCAAATATTTCACAGACAACCGGCGACAGGGGACAGTAGACAGGGGATAGGGGGCAGCGGGCAGGGGCGGGTTGACATAGATTTCGTAAGAGGAGGGTGCGCTTTTTGTAGTGGGGGCAAGGACCGGGGGCTAAATTTCGCACACAACAATATATACTTGAAGGGCGTTGGGTAGTAGGGGAAAGCGAGCGAACGAGCTGCGCATGTACTTACCACGGAGCGAGCAAGGCAGCGAAGTGGCGATGTGGCGCCACAATGCTTCGAAATGGGAGGAGCAAACATAACCACACGAAAAATCGCACCCTCTTTCTTGTCTCTCAATTTTTTCTCGTTTTCATCGCAGAAGGAATGGACTCTCTCATCCCCCCTGACCACACCCCACCCACCCGCTAGCCCGCAAGGTGATGCATCAAAGGCAGCAGAATTACCCCGCCGCAGGCCCACGGCACTCACCACCAGGTAGCCCGAGCCCCACGGGGCAGGCTGAACCACGGCGCGGACAAGAGCGATAACGGGGCCCGGCGGCTCCCCCGCGGCCTTGGCCAGGCCAGTCAGGAACGCCTTTGCTTCCTCTTGCTGGGCCAGCGGCTCGCTCACCTGCAGCTGGAAGGCGGTGAGGACTAGCTTCTCCGCGGCCTGGTCGGGTTAAACACGGGGACACACATACACGCATGGTCAGGTAAACAAAAGAGTACACATCACACACATTTCTAGTCAGGTTAAAAACGGGTAAGCTACGTGGGCATTAAAAACAAGGCACATAAATATCACTTACATATACATCTATCGGAACGCGACGGGGTACACGGCAAGAAGTCCGACGAGAGAAGGCAAGGACCAAAACAGGGGGCACGCGGTTTTCAACGGCCGGATCATCAGGAGCGTGCCAAGTCCGCCCGCCGACAAAAAAGAAAGGAACGCACCAGGATGATTCGGTGTGACGGATGGATGGATGGATGGATCAAACAAGTCTGCGGGGGGAAATGCTACACGCTAATAGATGCTCTCGCCATCGCCCTCGCTCTCGCACTCTGCTCTCTCCCTCCCTCTGGCGCTACAAACCTGCCACTGGCGGACCGGAGGATGGAATCGCGGACCTCCGCTGCCGCCGCCGCCGCTGCCGCCGCCGCCGCCACTGCCACCGCCACCGGCAGCGGGCGCAGGCGGCGGCGCCCCGTGAGTAATGGGGATGCCGCTAGGACCATGGGAAACGCTTCCAGCGCCAGCTGTGCCACTCATCGGTGACGATTGAAACCCGTTCGCCGCTCCAGCCGATGAACCGCCGCCGCTCACGGCGTCTACGGCAGACTCCTGTTGCTGCTGGCCTGTTCTGCCGTCACCACCGGTGTTGGTTGTCGAGGCTGCGATGGACGCCGCCGCCGCGTTGGCGGCCTCAATCGCCTCCGCCACGGAGGCGTTCATCACTGCCGCCGCGGCCATCATCTTCTCGGCCGGGGTCCTCGACTTGGACGCACCCCCGGCAGGCTTGCCGGCCGCGGCAGCGGCAGCAGCGGAGGATGCAGCCGCCGGGGCGGGGGCCGCACCCTCCGGCTGCGCCGCCGGCTCCGCCGACGAAGGAGTGGAAGTGGAATCTGGGGTGCCGTTCTGTCCGGCCTCCGTTCCCACCGCCGGGGGGGGAACAGCCTGCTGCTGGTTGTTGTACCCCTGCTGTTTCTGCTGCTGCTGCTGCTGCTGCTGCTGCTGTTGCTGCTGCTGCTGTTGCTGCTGCTGCTGTTGCTGCTGCAGTAACAGCCCCGTTGCCCCGCCCCACTGGCCGCCGCCCAGTCCGGCGAGAGCCGCCGCCGCAGCCGCCGCAGCCGCGCGGTGGTCCGAAGGGTGCCGCCTCCCGCCGGGGCCTCCGCTGCCGCCGCTGCTGCCTTGCCACGGGGCTCCGAGGACCTGGACCTTCGCCGCCGCCATCGCCGCCGCTGCCGCTCTCGCGGCCGTCGCCGCCTCCGCCTCCGTGGGGCGCTCGTGGTCCGCGACCCGCTGCCACTGCTGCTGCTGCATCCTGGCCGAAGCGGCCGCTCTCTCGGCCACGGTCTGCGGCGGCGGCGAGGAGACCGCCGACCACGGGGCGGCGGGGACGGCGCCGGGGGGTGGCACCGACGTGATGATGTCGGGGGCGCACGTGTGCCAGGCTCGCTTCATCGACCGCCGGTTGCCGCTGCTGGGCGCGGGAGCCAGACGCGGGTACACCGTCATCGGCGCCGGAGGTTGCGCCGGCCCGTGGTGAATGGTCACTGTGGTGGCTGTCGTTGCGGCGGCCGCCGCCGCCGCCGCCGCAGCCGGCGTTGCCTGCTGATTCGCGACCGCCACTGCCGCGGCCGCTGCCTTCGTCACCGCCGCGGCATCCGCCACGGCGGACGCCGCCGTCGCCGCCGACGACGACGGCGACGACGCTACCGCCTTCGCGCGCGGGTCTCCGCCCATCATCAAAGACGCGATCATGCCGGTAGGCCGCCCTTGGGGGGACGTCCGGCTAGGCGGGTACCCGAGGATTCCAGGCGCCGGCGCCGAGCTACCGCCACCATCGGAAGTTGAGATCTTCGGCAGCGCCCCAGCTCCGTGAGCTGCGGCACCTCCTGCTCCTGGAGCGGCGGCGGCGGCGGCGGCGGCGGCGGCGGCGGCAGCGGCCGCGGCGGCCGCGGCGGACTGGGCCTTCCTGTGCACCGACAGGGCCGGGGTGACGATCGGGGCGATCGGCGCCAGCTTTGTCCTGGTGAGGTTCGGCGCCGCGGGCGTCCCCGACGGCATCGACGACGGCGGGGGCGATGACGACAACACCGACGAATGTGGAGGAGCCACGCCCACAGCGCTAGCAGTAGTCCCGTTATGACCACCGCGCGGGGTGAGGGCTACAGCAGTACCGGAACCTTGGGAAGCGTTGCCGCCGGCTTTCTGGCCGGGCGATGATTCCGCAGCAGCTGCTACGCTAACAGGAGGAGCGAAAACAGCATTTGTACTCGCAACACGAGGACTCCGGCTGCCCGTCGCGGATGAGGGCTGCGGAAAGTGCCAAGGTGTGGCAAACGGGGCGTAAGGGGGTGGGGGGCGACGCCGCGGGCGGGGGGGGGCGGGAGGTCGAACTCAGTTTTGCATACCATAGCGAATAGAACATTCACCACGTATCCTCGAGAGGACGGAGCATCATTCCCACAGGACTGGGAGGGCGGGGTGATGGTGAAATTTAGACAACCGGCTGCGATGATTGCAGTTGTATATTTGTCGTGGTTCGACATAATGGCTGCACAATTGTTTTCGGGGGTGCCAAGACATATTCGCGTAAGGGTCGTCATCGCATTCGACGTTGACGTGGTCTGCCGTGGTTATTTTTCAATCACAACATTCAATCCTTGTTCGATTATGCACAGTATGTTTCTATCGCTTTGGCCGAGAACAACAAATTTTAACAGAAATATCTACGAAAATGTAGATATGCCCTTCATGGTGCCACCTATGTAACTGTGTACGACGTGTAGAGCATGTGCCGCGTGGTATGGATATATTTTTAGGATATCCATCAATTGTTTGGTGACACATGATCCTGTACCTTTGCCTCCCCTCCCAGCTGCCTCACTCTCTTCGTGGTTCTGACGGATAAAAAGCGTGTGTTCACGCATGCCTACCATCAGCCTCTCAGCCCCTCATTTGGTTCAAGTCCTGATGGAAAAGGATCTAATTCAACGCACCGAAAGCCCATCGCGCGCGTGCCCTACCTCTTGTCCGCTAGCCCCGGCACCGCTCTCGCTGCAGATCGCCACGAACACAGCATCCTGTGCAGCAACCGGCAGATCAGGAGGAGAAGGAGGAGGAGGAAGGGCGGCAGCATAGCAGCATAAGAGCGACAGCGAGATCGATATGATGAATGAAGATGGCAAACGCAACGCATCGGAACACGCGGTGAAAGACAAGCAGTTCGTCTTGTTTGTTTGTTTGTTTTTTTTTCTCCCATCATTGGACTTTGCCGTCTGCCCCTCTGGCCCCTATCCTCCACTTCTACTGGCTAGACGACCCAACCGGGGTCACATAGGAGAGGGGGATTGGACCCCCTCCTGCGGTTCATGCCTGAGGTATTTTTATCGCGAGAAGGGTACAGCAATCCCTTCCCTCGCGACTTACGAAGTCGATTATGGTTTACTACCAAACGAGCTTTGCAGCGCGTCGCTTTCATCTTAGACCAGGATTTATTTAGTGAGAAAAAAACTCTCTCTGCCGGGACTCGAACCCATGACGTGGCCCTTGACAGGCTGCGAGGCTACCTACTAGACCACCGGGGCGACCAGGCGCAGTGATCAACTATGTTGCCAACTAAGGGTGTACACCAAAAAGGCACGTTGCCCATCACTTCACGCGAAACAGACACGCGAGCAAAAAGGGCTAGCGGCATGCAAGTACCATGAAAGCTAGATTCACAAACCTGGCTATCGTTGGCAACCAAGTCTGAGAGGACGTCGTCAGGGTCTACCTCGCACAACCCGTCTTGCACCCGCAGCTGAATTTCTGTGCAACGATCCGTGACAGGGACGGGAAGGAAAGAGAGAGATGGGGGTTGACTAAGACGGGGAGAGGGGTGTGTGTGTGTGTGGGCGGAAGGGAGGATAAACGTGGTACGTACATGCTTCAGGAGGATCGGTTTCACGTTCAGACAAAAAAAAGGAAGAAAAGATCCGTGTGATCTTCCTCCTGTGTAAACCCCGGGTGATGCATGAAACAGATACACCGAGAGGTGCGTAGAAAGGCGCTATAATAATTGGGGGGACTTTCAAAACATGTAAACAACACCGTCAGTGTGGCGACGGTCATCACTTCTTTTTCGGCCTTTTATTTTTTGTCTTTACTTCAAATCAGCGCTCACTGCACTACTGCCGTTTTACTCCAACCCGTGGTCACACAGACGGGCCCCCCTCTACCCTCCCCTCCTACGGTACGTTGCCTCCGATTGTTCATGCGAGAAGAGTTCACCACTCTCTTCCCTCTGTGTACACACGAACAAGCATTATCCACTAGGCCAGGAGCGGATGCGAGAGAAAAACTCCCTTGCCAGAAAAGCTCGCTTACGCCGGGATTCGAACCCCTGAACTGACCTCTAGAAGGTTTCGAGGGTAACAACCAGACCACCGGGGCGACAGGCTTGTAGCCGTGCCTTTAGTTGAACACCCATGTTGGAGACAAGCGCGAGCAACGATAGCTTCAAACTCTCTCTCGCCACAACCCTCTTGCCCCCATTCCACAGAGGGATACCCTCTCTCGTTTCCCGCAAATATCGTCGGAACAAACCGACACACCATGGAGGCAGGAGGGAGCCCAGTGTCCTCGACGCTGGGGGAGGGGGAATACTCGTGTTTACCAACGCCCGCGTTGTTGCCGTAGGTGACATGAAGTAAGATACCATACCCCCTGGACCGATTTTCAAAGCTCGATTTGTCTTCTCTCCACGATGAGGAGGATGCCAGAATCCAACACTTCCAAGAAATACGTTTTCGGAAATATCTCGACAAGACGGCTCCAACGCCGACACTCGCTCTGCCGCAGACTAAATCGAGTTTTTGAAAATCGGTCCACCAGGGGGTGTAATATCGTACGTCATCTACGGTAGGTGTAACATATCATACCTCCAATATGGATGCTTGCCTCCCCGGTCGTCTTGCGACGCTTAAGCTCTCGGTCTTCCACGGCCCTGTTTCGATTTCGAACATACATGTACCACCAGCGTGAAAGTGCGTCGGAAAAAAGAAGGGGGGGGGAGGGCGTGCTCTTATGTTTTGCATGCCTTAGCGGTTAGACCATTGACCACGCGTCCTCGAGAGGACGGAGCATTGTTCCCACAGGACCCATCACCGATGGCCAATCGTTCCTTTCTACTTTGCCAAAGGTGGCTCAAAAATGTCTTCCCTAGTCTGTCTATCCTAACGATATCCCTTCCCGCCTTTTCAACCCACCTCCTATGCCCCAGTACAGCTACCGTCCTTTCCTCTCTATTCCATGCCTCAAACCCTCCCTGTACGTCCTATCTTTCTGTTCCCAGCTCAGTCACGTACACTTCCCTCTCCTTCTTGTACCACGGACATTCCG